CGCCGAGGATGTAAAGCAAATCTGCAAAGACATCAAGGCTCAAGGACGTGGAGTTTGCGCTTACATCGCGGAAAGTCTCATGTCAGTCGGTGGACAAATTCTGCCGCCACCGAATTATTTCCAGAATGTATACAGGTATATAGGAGATTATTTTATTATTTATATGTAGAGACACGCATTACGCAGGGCGATCGTAATATTAGAATAAGTACACATTTAATTTTTAATTTAATATTCAATATTTAATTTTTCATACTTTTGTGATTAAATACTGTGTTTTTCAAACAGAGCTAAATTTTTAAATCTGTTTTTGTAGGTCTCATTACTTCCTCTTTAATCCATTATGCAGTGTCGCCACATGTTTATAATGTCTTTTGTAATAAATATTTCGTAATTCCAAATTTAGAATTGATTGAGGAATATTTTGACAAATGTATTCGCTAAATTTTCCATTCGAATATTAATTGTTAACAAAGTTATTGTATAAAATATAAATAAGGCCACCTTTTGCTCTGTGATTACGTTCATATTATTGAATATAAAATTATAACACTGATGTCGTATTACTGTTGATTGTTATTTACTGAAAAATGGCGATATGGAAAAAAGAATATAATGGAATAAATTGTTCTTATAGGCACGTACGCGAAGCGGGAGGAATCTGTATTGCGGATGAAGTTCAAGTCGGTTTTGGAAGAGTCGGCACTCACATGTGGGCCTTTCAATTGTACGGCGAAGACGTTGTCCCGGACATAGTTACGCTGGGCAAGCCCATGGGCAACGGTCATCCTGTCGCGGCCGTCATTACGACGCCAGAAATTGCCCGTAGTTTTTACAATACGGGCATCGAATACTTCAATACGGTTAGTTTGGAAAGATGTTATTAGCATTAGCATTTTAAAATTACTGTTAAGATATTTATCTCTGTGATTGAAAATATTCTGTGTAATTTTAGTATGGAGGCAATCCTGTATCCTGCGCAATGACGAACGCAGTAATGGAGGTGATAGAACGTGAGGGTCTTCAGGAGAATGCTTTGAAGGTTGGCAATCATCTGCTCGCAGAATTGAAGAAATTGGCGATGCGACGGAAGATTATAGGTGATGTGCGCGGCGCTGGGCTGTTCGTCGGCATCGAATTAGTACGCGACAGAATTAAAAGGATACCAGCGACGGCAGAGGCAAAGCATGTGGTATCCAGGATGAAAGAGAAGAAGATTCTCATCAGCAGTGACGGGCCTGACGATAACGTTCTGAAACTGAAGCCGCCAATGGTCTTCACACTCGAGAATGTCAATCATTTCGTATCCGTTCTCGATGAAGTACTCGAAGAAGTTGATATCGACTTTGACGAGGTGATTTGCATTTTGCATTTACTTAGATATGCCGCCAATCTTTTATTATTATAATCTTTATCAAAATAAAATACCAATGAAATACTATTTTTTTTAATAGTTAAAAGAATTGATCTAAAATGAAACAATTTTTTCCAATTTTATTATTAAATTTATACACTAGAAAACTTTAAAAAATAATATAATTAATATATATATAATTATTTCAGGAATCGAAAACTACTACAACTGTTATCAAAGCAACAATTTCGTCTATAGGAGTCGACAGAAGTACCGCGATGAATATCAATGGAAATTCATTATTTGTTCGCGCTAATTAATAACGTATGTTATACAAATATTGCAAATATTGAATTTAAGACAATTTTATATAAAAAAAGTATTATTATTTTTAAGATTAATATTATACCTCTCATTATATATGATATATTTTTATATAACTTTAACAGAAATATACGTAAATAGAAGCATTATTTTAATAAAATAAGGTAATAACATTAAGATATTATAAAATATATTCAACAACACATTTTTACATAAATGAAATTGTTTACAACCTTTATTGATTACAACCTTTCTATAGCAAAATAATTTATTTTGATATAAAATTACATACATATTCAATTTTGTAATGTATGTCAGTACAAGTTACTCCCCAAATATTTTGAAATGTTAAAGCTTTTCTAAATAATCATGTTTTATTTTCTCCGTTCTTTTATATTTTATAAATTTCTATTACTAATAGTTATTATTTAAATATGTTGTATTTATATAATCTCTTATTCAACTTTTTTATATGTGAGTTTATATTGCTCGAACCTTTATTTCAAAAGTAACACAACTCAAAAAATTAAATTTTTTAGGGAAATTATTTTTTAACTTGAAAATTAATGATTAATCAAATATTATCGTCAAAAAATAATATTTTTAACATGATCAAATATTATTTTGGTTATTTTCGTTTTACAACTCTTAAGAAATTATTCTTTTTTAGTAGTAATGATTTTGACGATCTTTTAAACTCTCTTTCTGGTCTGGTGTGATTTCGAAGTCACATACTAATATATCGATATTTTGTTGATTTAGTCGAATAAGAGAGAAATAAATATTCGATTATGATTGATCAATTCTTACAGACTATGACATAAATTAACAGATTAAGGCCAGTATAAATCTTTTAATGCTTTTACAAAAAAAAATTATTGAAACTACCAAATGTATTGTTAATTTGTATTTAGAGATTGATATTTGTTGATTTCACGTTGTATAAATTTATTTAGAGCCACGAAAAATTTGGACTATAGAAGGTTGAACCACATTTTTTGAGTTTGTAACGATTTTGATAATTTTTTGGTTAAGAGTTATTTTACTTTTTGTGATTATAAGTCATATTTTATGGTCGTATCTCGAAAATTATATTTTACGAGTTGTGTCACTTTAGAAGTATAAGGGATATAATACGTCTGTATAAAGCTATATGTCTAGATTACTATGGATCCTATATCTCATAAAAAGGCTTACTTTACGGATATACATATACAACTTCTAGAAGGATTAGGCAATGGGCTAATAATTTATTTCCGTAAAAAAATAAAATACTAAGGTAATTGAGACAGTCAAAGTTCGATTTAGGCTGTTGCACCATTAATGATAATATATTACACATATAATAAAAGTCCGATGTGCAAACTCAGTAACAAGCAAATGAATGAGTGAACGTTCGAGAAAATATGTGGAAAGTAAGATAAGAATATAAGTTTACAGAATATAAAAATTTATATTTTTTTAAAATAGAAGTATTTCCGATAAGATAGATTAAGTTAATAAATGCAAATCAAGTAGAGAATGATGTAAACAGATTGATATAATAATTTGTAATATTTTTGTGTACAGAGTGCTTTGAAAGTGAAAGTCAATCGCTCGCGTAATAGACCTTCGTTTTTAAAACATTCTGGTGATTAGGGATTATCAATAATTTCATCATCAATAATTTCGGAAAAAATTGACTGGATTGATTAAATTGGATTGATTAAAATAAGACATCCTATATATCTTATAATTATAAGTGCAACAATATACATAAGTTAAATTTTTAGAGATATATATATATATTTATATATATATTAGATAAGGCCGTAGTACAGACTTTTGCATAACGCATAACGCATAGTGCATAAGCGAATCAATTAATCAGAATCTTTCCTTTCCTTCCATTCTATGGAGAAGAAGAATTTCGATTGGTTGATTCCCTTATGCACTATGCATTATGCGTTATGCAAGAGTTTGTGGCAATTACTCCTTATAAAAAACGAAGTTAGGAAACAGTTGCCGGTTTATTCTTTCGTCTTTATATATATTTTTAAACTTTCGTCTTTACATATAATTTTATATTTTTAATTTATGTATTTATATTACCGACTAGATAATAATTTTTTTTCTGATACAAGAAAATCCTATTCTAATTTCTATGAAGTTTGTAAAATATAAACAAAATTTTTAAATAAGAAATATATATATATATATATATATATGTATTTTTCTAAAATATTTTACTTAAATATTTTTTTAAATAATTTAGTAGATACGTAGTACTTAAAGGCTGAAAGTACATAAAAATTAAAAGAAAATCTAGCATATATTTTTTATTCATTACAAATACACAATTTATCATAATCTGGAAAATAATAATTAAAAAAATACTTGTATGCGAGTGTATACGTGCGTGAGCGCGCGCATGTGTGTGTGCGTGTATGTGTGAAAGGAAATGTTACTTAAAAATTTTCTAATCGCGTAATCATCGTTAGTAAATATCTCCTGCATTAACACCGATATCTCGCTACTTGGATCAAAGTTTGACTTTTAACTTTCGTTTGGCATTGGAAAATGTGTGCAAGTTCACATTACATCCGCTAATATCTCCCGTTGCTCGCTTTCCGGAGACATTTTCATTCATGATAAGATACAAATAAGAAAAAAATAAAATAGCATTTAATGACATAGGATCGTTTTCGTAATCATTGTGCTAACAATTTTCAAATGTCAAGCAAAAATTCAACACGTGCAGAAAATTAACAATAGTCTTTTGGGAATCAATACCTTCTATATTTTTGCTTATCCAACAAAACGATGAATATATTAAGTGAAATTTTCCTGAAAAAGAATTTTCTATTAAATTTTATATAAATGTATATATATATACCTTCTGTTCCGTAGCAAATAGACAATTGTATTTTGCGTAAGTTCCAAAAAATTCTGCGCAAATAGTAACATTATTTTTTTTATTAATTCCTAATTACGTCAAACATATTTTAATAAATTTCAATATGGTATCTAGAAAACAACTGATTAATAGATAGTAATGTGTTTTCATCAACTGACAAAGTTAATAATATCTTCAAACGAAGTCAAAGTTCTGTCCGGAAGTCCGATGGCACGACCCGTCTTTACTTTCTTAAATATGCTGCGGATGTGTAAGTAATCTATCGTGTGAAAGGTTAAAAAAATTTGTCACGCGTTCATAAACGGTATAGTTTCAAGTTCGTACGGATACTGAATCTCTGTGGCTATCAGCAGGTCAAGCTGAGTTGGCATACTCCTTTATATAAATTAAATCAAGGAGAAGAAGCTTTCATTTCACATTCGATACCTGGCAACCACATAACACCATGTGGTTCCCTGTTATCCTTTTAATAGGTAAGAAAGACAATAACTTTATGTAGATGGTAATAATATCCACGAAAATTTCAAATGGAATATCTCATACTTTCATGAAATTTTTGAAAAAAATTTTTTCAAGTTGGTACAGAATTAATTAATTTTTCGATTGATCACTGCTGCAAAATCTGACTTTCATATTTTGGATAAACTTATTGTTTAACTAATTTATGTACTAAAGTAAATCCAACTTTTTGAGACAACGTAATAAGAATCATCTTAATCCGACAAGAAAATACAAATTTCAATTATTAAAATTTGGTAATTTCTCTTTGGCAGCCGGCGTGGCCGTGGTCACAGGCACGGTTGACCACGAGCATGCTTGGGAAAAGGAAAACGAGTATGAATACCATGTACATAGTCGAACAGTGGTAGGCCTTGACAAGTTGAAACGACAATATACTGGACTTCAAATTGAGGCTAAACTCATCGTTCAAGTAAAATCGCCACAGAAATTGCAAGTGAAGCTGTCCGATGTACGGTATACTCGTCTACACACCACATTAGTGGACGGCCCGGATACCAACCTTCCTGAACATATGCTGGACTATCGGGTGATTCCCATGTTAGAAAAGCCATTTGAGGTCACAATGAAGCACGGAGTGATACGGGACTTATTAGTCGACCGTGATATTCCTACTTGGCAACTGAATCTCCTCAAGAGTATCATGAGCCAGCTGCAAATTGACACGCAGGGCGAAAACGCGGTAGAAATCATGAGCGCTCAAATTCCAGACGATGAAAATTCTCCCGTTATATTTACAGCCATAGAAGATTCCGTCAGTGGCAAGTGCGAAGTACTATACGAGATCTTACCGTTGCACCCAGATGTTCACCGAGTGATGCCAGACAAGATACTTATTCCGGACTTACTCGGTAAGGGCTATCATTACGAGGTTAAAAAAATTAAGAATTACGAGAAATGCCTTGAGCGACAAATTTATCATCACGGTCTAGAAGATCCATGGCTCCGTAAACGGAAAAAATTATATAAACGGGATAAATTTATTTCGGTGAGTTAATTGATAAACTGTTTTATATTCTATACTCATAGTTAAAAAATAAGCAATAATTACAATTGTTGAAAATTATGAAAAAGAATACTTTTTAGGAAAACTATTTTATTTGAAATATTAGTATTTTTCTATAGCAAATGATTCAAACTATTGTATTAATAGAATCAAACTATTACAATCAACAAAAAAGAAAATGATAAAATTTCTTAATGAAATTTATTTGTGGTTATGTGATTATTACAGGAATTATCTACGACTCAAATGCTTATCTCGGGCAATCTGAAAAGATTTACTATTCAATCTGTCGTAACGAAGAGTCATGTATCCGTTAGGCCTGATAAAATTGATCCTTTCCTTGGTAACGTTCATAGCATATTGAAATTGATTTTAAAGAGAAGGGACAAAATATCCAGCCCAATGTTTGATTCGCTCGAATCAATCAACCTCGAGTCGACTGGAAACCTAATGTACACGTATAATAATCCATTTTCTGATTCTGAGAACCCAATATTACCAAGCATCGGTATGAATTCCGAGCAAATGCAGTCATCAGAGAGAACCAGTTCTTCTGAAAAAATGTGGGACGACCATATCAGCTCCTTTAGTAGCTCCAGCGATGAGGGTTCACCTAAAAGAATGGCAATGCGCATGGATCTGAAAAATCCGGTGTTACCCTACATGGCCCCCATAAAAGTGGAACAAATGAAGGACTTAATTAATGAAATAGCTGTTGCAATACATTATTCTAATGATACGCGTCTAAGAGCAGTGGAGCATATAGTGTGTTTAAAAAACTCCCTGCGCATCATGAGCCTCAAGCAGATTGCTGAATTAAAAGAACAATTACGTAATCTCGTAATTAACAATAAAGATTACGAGAATACTGTCTGGAGCATCTTCCGGGATGGTCTTGTACAAACCGGAACAGAACCCGCTTTATTGACTATCCACAATTTGTTAAAAACGAAAAAAATTGAAGGCCTAGTGGCAGCAAAAGTTATGTCTCAAATTTCCAAGTATGTTTACAAACCAACAAAAGAATATGTCAAAGCATTCTATGTAAGTATCTACTTATACATAATAACATGTTAATAATTAATTAATTTTTAATTCTTCGCAGTCCGTCAAAATGCTTATTATATTAACAATTAAAAATGATATGCGAATACACAAAAAGAAATAATTCTATTGCTAAGAAAAATGATTACTCAATTTACTTTTTTCTTTTAAATAATGATTATATTTAACAAAGAATATTTTCTTAATAAGAATCTTAAAATATGCTTATATTACAAATTTTAGGAAAAATTAATTTTACTCTATTCAACATAAAAATTTTTTTTCTTTTGAAGAATAAAAAATTTTTATTGGAGAAGCGACTTTATATAATAAGCAAATCGAGTTTGTTTAATTTAATAATCTTGATTGAAATGTTAAACTCCCTCTCCCCCTCTCTCTCTCTATTAGGATTCAGAATATGTTTTTAACAAATATGACGCTTGTGATAAATTTATGACGGATTTGTTAGTATAAACTTTTTAAATATATTTGAAACAAGTAATTATTATTTGCATTTACAGTAAAAAACGTTTTGTATTTGTGTTAGAAATAGTCCACTTAAGTTTTTATTAAAATTTTGTATTGAATTTTTAATATATTCGAGTGTTAATTTAATATAATGTGATTGTGTTATATTTAAATATTTTATAAACTGATATTTAATATTTCTTAATGTTAAAATAATAATTCATGAATAATAATGAATAAAAATGTAAGAATAATGTTTTTTAAAATTTAAATTCTAAGATAAATGAATAAAATGTGTTAATTTAACATATTACAAATGTTACATTTATTGAAACATGTTGATTTAACATATTATAAATATTAATTGTAATGAAGAAGAATAACCATTTATAAATTGTATTAGAATTATGTTTTTTATATTGATGTTTTACGTAATATTTATCTTAATTTTTAACATATTTAATTTGTGTTAAATTAACATAAAAACAAATTTCCAATGGTGTACAGTATATACATACAACATATGTACGTACGTACATATGTATGTATTTCCCTGTGTAAAAATAAAAATTAATTTTATCTTTTATGTGATTTTGTGCAGGAAATGATAACCGATCCATCAGTAATGTATCAGACAGCCGTAAATGTAACCGCACCATTAGCATTTGCTGAAGTAATACGTAAAAGTTATAGCGATACTTACCATCCGACACGCAGTTTAAAGCGTTTAGGCCCTATGACTCTCAGAGATATTGTACCAATATACGTCGAGATATCCGAAATTTATATTCCCTTTATGGCTGACCAACTGAAAAAAGGCCTTCTCGATAATGACTATGCAAAAGTTCAAGTATATATCGTGGCACTTGGTTTGACCGGCCATTCGAAGATTCTCTCGATCTTTGAGCCGTACATAGAAGGCAAGGAGCCGGTGTCGAAGTTTCACCGTTTGCTCATGGTATCTTCCCTGTCCACCTTAAGCATATTGAAACCGGAATTAATTGGACCAATTTTTTATAAGATCTACTCGAACGTAAAAGAAGATCATAGAATACGTTGTATGTCTATACATCGATATATTATAACCAACCCACCTTTGATTATGTTGGAACGCATAGCGAAGTTTACTAATGACGATTTGGATGAAGACGTAAACTCTGTTGTAAAAAGTACAATAAACAGTCTCGCTAATACGAAGCGACCGGAATTGGAAGATCTCTCTAATAAGGCACGCAGTGTCAAGCATCTATTGAATCCGAAAGAGTTTAGTAAACTGAAATCGCAAGGCTACTACAAGGACTTGGATTACTGGTTTATTAAGGGACTTAGTGTGCAAACTATTGGTGACAATAGAATATTGCCCTCATATTTGAGTGTTGGTGTGAATAGTGCTTTCGATTTCTTTGGATTACCTACTTTGAAAGCAGGATACATTGTATCGAATGTCAAGGAGCTTTTTTACAACTCAAAGTACGAAGAAACAAGTAATAAATTGTTGAAAGAATCACACATTGAGAAGCTTATGCAAGAACTTTATTTCAAGTCTGAAGAGCTGGAGAAATTGGAAGGAAATGTCTTTATTGACACAGTACACAATCTTCTGATCTATCCCTTTGACAGAGAAGCTCTTAAAAAAATGTCTTCCCGTAAGTATCCTGAATTTTACTACAAAATTATATTACTTTAAATACGAAGCGCCACTACGGTCTGAATATTAAGATGTTGAACTATTATATATATTCATATGAATTAATTTCACCATATCGGCACGCAATTATAATTTCTGAAATTAATTCATTTAATATGAATATATATAATACAACATCTTAACATTCCATCGTAGTGGCGCTTCGTATTTAAAGTAATGTTTCTAACATAAACGATCTTATTTCCAATCTTATTAAAATTATATTACTTTTAAAGAAATAAACTATTATTACATTACAGAGTTGAAGGATTTCTTCAAGAAGGACCAAGAATTGGATTTACTTTCCGTCGATAATCACGAAATTATGTTAAGCTTCCCAATTGAAAGTGGCCTGCCGTTCCTTTATACTTTGGACTCGCCAATGATTTTAAAACTTAAAGCTGAAATGAGAAATAACAAACTTTTGAATTTAAAAAAAATTGGCAATTTGAATGTGTATGTTGCCAATAAGGTTCAGAAGCGGTTTGGCTTTATAGCACCTTACGACTCTCATAATTACATTGCTGGTGTTCATGTCAATCGAATATTGGATTTACCATTAGAATATGAAGTCGAACTCGATTCGACCCAACAAAAGCTTGATATTAGTACGTTAAAGATTGGCCTAAAAACTCAAACTTCTCCAATCAATGTATTGCATCTCAGCACCATTCCCTTCACCACGCAAAAAGACCTTCATGAACTTGAATGTGTATTTTCTAGTAGAAACACGCATGTTATACTAACAGAAAGAAAACATAAAATCATATTAGAGAAAGACTTAATTTCTCTCCAAGTAGAAAGTGATAGCAAAGAAATAGAAGAAAATCTAGAAGAAAATGACATTTTATCGCTCTTGTTAAAATTACAAGAGATACCTGACGGCCACTATAAACAATTGGATGTAATAATGAATCATGAACAGTTAGCAAAGAGTGTATTAGACATGAACATTATTCATGAGAAAATTGCAATTGATAATGCCGTACAATTATATGATCCAGAATCACAAATTATGTTTCCTTTAAAACACGTAAAGCTAAACAGTGAAAAAAGACGAAAGGAAGTTGCGACGGGCTTAAGCAAAGACCTCAGGTCGGGTGATGTCCATATATTGGATATAAATTTAAACTTACCGGAGTTAGAAAAGCAACAAGTTTTCACCGTTGGTTGGATGGACAGCAACATAGACAAGAAGTCTAAGGTTTATTTATATTGGAATTCTCAAATGTTGAGGATGGAAAAACCAACATCTGAAGTTTGCTATACGCATGAAATACAATATTCACCAGATACTCCTTTAAATTTCGAACATATGAAGAAACACGCGCCGAAGGATAAGGTCAGAGCTGAACTGCAATATGGAGAGAGTTGCAGCAGAGGAAACAAAATTGTTGTCGAAGCGAGTATGTCGCGAAGCGACCGAATAAAGGATTTGTTAGAGTCCTCCAAAGTAGTTAAACAATGTTGGAAAGAAATGGAGGAGGGACATAATGCACTGCATGCTTGCCAGCAGGCCACTGAACTTGCCCAAATGAAGAATCAGTTGGACGTTTCGTATAAAGGTCCAATAAGGGACATTATTAAAAAAATTATTAAAAAGATTTCCGACTTTATTTCGCATCTCTTCCCTCACTCACGAATTAAACTAACAGACTCGGAAGACTCTGATGAAAAAGGCTTCGATATAAAAATGACTTTGTCACCCTCGGAAATAGATCCGTCGGTTTCCTTAGATTCACCGCAAGCAGATGTTACTTTCCCTAACATGGAGCAAACAGATTCCGAAATGCAAGAGCTATTAAAAGAAAATATCATACACCGAAGAAAAGAAAGAAGAGGTAAGTGACAAAATTTTATGAAAGATATAACTACTGTTCTTTAAATATTGAAAGTTAAAATAATTCAATATATTGAATTATGTAATGTATTATGTTAATTGAGAAACAATTGAGAAGTTAATGCTTGAATAATAACGCAGAGAAGTTAATAATTTGATACTCTATTAACTTTATAACATTTCTCAATTATTCCGCGAGCGCGTTTTTATTTATTCTAAACAAATAAATTATTCATTGTTCTATTATTGTTATCATTTATATTTTATTTGGTAAAGATTGTTTGCAAAATGTAATGTAGATTACATATAAAAATTTTATAACGTATATAACATTTGAATTTTTTTTACAGCTTCGTGTACTTTTGATAAAGACATGCTCCTTACTTTTGATAAGCTGCTTTATCCTGTGAAACTGGGGACTTGTAAACATGTACTAATGACCACTTATCCACAAAAGAATACTCAATATAAGGAATCAAACGTAGATTTTGTTGCCTTAATTAGAAATCATAGCGATGGTGCCAAGATGATTGCTATAATGGTGGACGACCACCTATTTGAAATGGATAAAATAGGTGATAATACTACAATTCTAATCGACGGCGTTCCCATTAAATTATCACATAAAGGTTATCAACTAAGAGAAGATAGTGGAAAAGTTTTGGAAATCCATAAGCTACCCGACGGTTCGATCGAAGTGGATTCGGGCAAATCTGATTTCAGAATACTATTCGACGGAGAACGTATTCAACTATTTGTGAGTAAAAATGTGAAACAAACTGGTAATGGCTGCATTCGGAAATGTCGCTCGGATGCCTTCGATGCCTCGGAATCACCATCTGTCCTGGTTTAACATTTAATGTTTAAGATGATGAATTCGAGGCATCCGAGCGACGTTTCCGAACGCAGCCATTAATAAGTTGATCGCAGTAATGTAGAAAGCATAACAATCAAAATAAATTTGTCATCAGGTATCCGATATATACCGCAATGCTGTACGCGGTCTTTGTGGCAACTACGACTCCGATCCCAGCACCGATTTCCTCACTCCTCAGAACTGTCTCATGAAGATGCCCGAAGTATTCACCGCTACGTATGCCTTGACTGAGGATTGCCTTCAGGAAGACATTCTGGAGAACAAACGAAAAGCTAAACTCACTCAGTGCCGTGAGTTGCCAATGTCTCGTCCGAACAACGTTATTAACGATATAGAAGCGGGAAGATTGCCGACACATAGTGAACGTTGGGGCTATCATAACGATAATCTCAAGAGAAAATATAACTTCGATTACGATAGTAAAAAATCCAGTTCCGAGAGAAAGGATTTACCAGACAATAGTAATCTTATCTATCGCACAAAAGTTGTTCTAGAGGACGAAGAGATCTGTTTCACGATCAAACCTGTACCAATGTGCCGACATGGTACCAAGTCTCGTGAAAAAAAGATGAAGGAATTTGGCCTTTATTGCCAACCAAGGAACGAGGAATCTTTATTAATAAAACGCAGGATCGAGCAAGGCGCTAATCCAGATTTTACCCGAAAGCCTTTGAGTAGATCGCATACTTTCCAAGTTCCTATCGTTTGCAACGCATAATCTGGCAATATCAAAATGATATACCGACCATGTATACTTAAAACGACCTCTTTTTTATTTTTTCTTTTTTTAGAAAGCAGTAAATATGCACTGTGAAATCTATAGTATCAAATTTAACTCACATTAGGTTAAATTTGACACTATAGATTTAACAGTGTGTTGTTTAATAATGCAGTAATGTAAGCAATAATAAAGTTGAAGCTTTTCAACATAATTATTCGTCGTATATTCTTTTCCGCATACTCAAGCTGTTCGAAATCAACACAATTCATTTAATATCAGCATTAATTAATTATTATCATTATATGTCTTTTGTACAATAATTGTTCTTTTTGTCAGAAAAGTAACCGTTAAATTTTTATTTCTTTCTAGCAGAACACCGTGTTCATAAAAAAATGAGCTGTTAAATTTTTGTATAAATTTTTTATATTTTTCAATAGCAGTAATTCAATGAAAAATCATCGTATTGCGGTGAATGAAAACTCAAATTAAAGCTTGAACATTCCTGTTAATAACAAAGAAGATCAAAAGAGAGTTAGAAAAAATGCTTTACAAAATGACGGATATAATAATATAACAGTTGAAGAAAAAACATTTGTTTTTCTATTTTTTAAAGTCAGTCTTCAACAACATCCATGTTTTGTAAAACATTTTCTGTAATTCAATTTGGATTTTCCTATTTATTAAGTGAAATGTTCAAACTTTATAACTTGAGCTTTGACTTATTCCAATGCAATAATTTTTCGTTAATTACCATTATTAATAAATATTAAAAATTTGTGCTAAAATTTAGAGACCCGTTTTTTTGCAGGTGAGTGTACATAAGAGAGATTAAGATGACAATGAAATAAAGATTGCGTTCCATTGCATGCATAACGCGCTTGAGGTATCATTTTAACCTTGTTATTTAGAGTGTTAAGCAAAAATAAAATATGACATGTTCATTATGCGACGAAAGGCAGCCACGGTTTGTGTGACAAACGAGTTTTGATTATCGCCTTTCCCTTTTATCCCAATTGTTTATTATCTCAATCAAGGTGCTTCGCATTCTAAGTTCATGTCAAAAAATTCCCGAACGTTCTAGAAAACTTAGGGTACAAAACCTCATCCTCCCGCGGCTCCAGAGTCAGTCGCTAATAGTGGTATCATAGTCCCGTATCGCAGCAATCGCAGTTATAAAGTTACTTGCTTCGCGCGGTGTGCGGTCTACACGCGAGTTTGCAGTGTGCATTCGCATTCATAAATATCAGACTAGAAATTGAGATTAAAGTTGAAATTGAATTTGATCAATCAAAGCAAAGTTCACTGATATATCAGCTTTCTTTCTTCTGATTAATTAAATTCAATCTCAATCTCAATTTCAATCTCTTATCTAATACAGGAATAAAAGAAGCTGTGCATATAAATATTCATATATTTTATATTGATTTTGTGTAATAAAAATTGTAATTTGTCGTGATTCGATGAGTTCGTTGCCGTCTCGAAAACTGATTCGCTCTTCTCACTGTATTTTCAACGCGCTGAGAATGCAAACACTATATATACGCACTGAATTAAACAGATTACAAACGGAAATTCTATATATAGTATAGGTGGAATATTGCTATGGATATATAAGTCAACGATAAAGAGGAAAATGGTTCTCCTTAATAAATAAATGAGTTTCCATTTACGTAGAAGAAATGACTTTGTTGAAGTATTTAAAAATTTAGATACCTATACAGATTCAATAATAACTTTGTTGGATTATCAAAATAATTATGTAGGAAACTCAAGTATGATAAGCAATGCTGCAAAATGCTTTGACATTCTAGCCATCAGTTTGAACGTCTTACATAATTATTTTGATTGTCCAACGAAATTATTTTCAGATATGTGTGTGTATCTAGTTAAATTTTTAAGTATTCTTTCCGTGTAGATTTTTTTTATGTCGTAATAGAAGATTTGAAAATAAATGACAATGATTAGAATGATAGAGTTACATGTTAATTTTATATAATTTCACTGTAGATGATATTTATTATACTGTTCCCACGAAAAAAACAACTACGATCCACACATTTTATGATCAGATTAGAGAACTCGAGTTATTTATTTCCGCATGCATTATCGTTGTATCTTTGGGAAGCCCAATATGACAATAATGCATGTGGAATTAAATAACGGGCTCGAATTCTTCAATCTGATCACAAAATGTGTGGATCGTGCATCTCTCTCCATGGACAGTATAAAATATTTATATTTTTATTAACAAAATCTTTTTAATAATGAATAATTTTCTTTCATTCTCTCTCTCTTTAAAAAACTGACATATAGAGAGATACAATTTTGTTTTGTTTTTAATAATGAGATTGTGTTTTATTAGAAGAATGTGGCCAGTTGGTGTAAAACGTAAAATAGCAATGATCATTATGTAAATATTCTTTGAAACGATAGAAATATTGATAACATACTAAAGGTTATCAATGACCTGTTATAAACCTTCGCGCAAACTTACTTGCTATCGATTAAATAACGGGAATATGATGCATATTGTGAAAACACATTCTGCGAAAGATAATAAATTTTATGTAAGTGTTATGATTATGAGAAATGTTATGATCATAAGAAATAAGAGATCGATGAAACATATGAAAAATCGCTCAAATTTTCAAATTAAGTATATTTCGTAATACAGACTAATTTCTTCTTAATTTTTCGTAAAAAGTCATGTAAAGAATTATATTAATTTTAGGACCTTCTATATATAATATTTTCAACATACAGTATTCGATTAATTCAATTATGTGTCAGATATCTGATGGAGACAGTAATTTATTAATAAATGTAGACATTTGTCGAATAATCGGTAAAATGAATCATGCTTTTGGGCGAAGTCATTGTTCTGTTTGAAATATGTGACGATCTTGTCTCCAATTTTCCAAGTATGTCACAATTATGGCGAATTACTCTCAATCACACTCGATTGTACTGCCAGGATGTACCAAGTGCAATTCTAGTATGTACAAGGTTAAAATAATTTATCACGTACGTCGGAACAATATAGTTTTAAGTTCAAGTTGAAATCTAAATCAATGAGCATCGTTCCGTGCGAGTCAAGCTGACATAGCATATGCAGCGTATATAAATCCGATTGAGAAGAGGGAGCTTTCATTTTGCATTTGACACTATTCGCATCATATCATGTGGCTGTATCTGGCTTTTCTCTTAATCTGTAAGTAGATGTCAACGTTACAAATAATATTAATGTTTACGAAAATTGTACGATGACGTCATTTTTCATCTTTTAATGCGTATTTAAAAGAATTTTCTATATTACGTAGTAAAGCGATCATTACGAAATTTGAAATTATATATTGTTTCTCTTCTTTAATGCTATAATTTATCCAAAACTGTGGAAGTTTAGCCTCTCTTTAATAATCCCATAAATAAGAGGGGCAATGGGAGTTTGCGCAGAAATCAATGGGTAAATTTAACAAAATAATCATTTATATTTAACGACATGAATATTAAGTCGCAACAATTTATTTAACATCAAACGTACATTTCAACTCTGTATTTGAACCATCATCAACGAAATTTAACAATCAATACTGCAATTAGATACACAGGTTTGCATATTTTTATGATGTTAATTTATCATGACGGCACGATGAATTAACATCATAGATAGAAAAATGCGAACTTATGTAATCGCGGTATTGATTGTTAAATTTAGTTGATGGCTTAAGTAAAAACCGAAATGTACGTTTAACGTTAAATAAATTATTGTGACTTAATATTCATGTTGTTAAGTAAATAATTATTTTACTGAATTTGCACATTGATTTCTGCGCCGAGTCCTATTGTTCCATTACTATTATTGTTTATTATTATTATTAAATATATAATATTGACGGGAGTCTATTTATAATTGTTAATTTGAAAATTAATAATATATTAATTTCTACAAAATTTACTAAATTATAGATAATTTATACACATTAAAAACGGATAACCTATAAAAATCCAAATTTTTATAAAAATATCAAGATTGTGTAGTAACTAATTAATTAATTAAAAGTAATCAAATTAAGAAGTTCATAATTTTTAAATTAATTAATTTATAACAAGTTAACTTTTAACTTTAACTAGTTATTTTATAAGCTTAATTTCACAAGTTATTAAATTTAACTTAACTTAAAAGAAAATTGAAAGAAAAAATTTTACTTATTCAATCTTTGAGAAAGATACTGTTAAGAAAATAAGCAGTACAGTAAAATTCTGTAAATTAATCTTTTTACATGAACTATATATATTTTATTTGTTAAAACATACTTGAAAAAGCAATGACACTTTCTTTCGATAGTTGGAGCGGCCATAGCCGATCACAATCATGCATGGGAAACCGGAAACGAATATCATTATCTTATAAAAAGTCGGACATTGACGGGCTTAAATGGGCTAGAGGAGCAGTATTCCGGAATTTATATGAGAGGTAAACTCACCATTCAAGTGAAATCATCGGATACGCTGCAGGCTGTGGTGTCCGAGATGCAGCATGCTTCTGTGAATGAAATATTGTTGGATATTTCGGTTGAAAGCACCAAGCTTGAGTTTCGCAAGCTTTCTTTATCGGGAAAGCCCTTCGAAATCAAGCTTAAACGGGGAGTAATCCGAGATATGTTAATTGATCAGAGTGTGCCTACTTGGGAGGTGAATTTGCTGAAAAGTATTGTGAGTCAACTGCAGATTGACACAGAGGGTGAGAATGCAATAGCAAGTAGAAGCACTATGGTGCCCAACGACAATCAGTCTTTTAGTGAATTTAAAGTCATGGAGGATTCCGTTGGCGGCAAATGCGAGGTCCTTTACAATATTTCGTCAGTGATGGGAGATAGTTTGTCAATATCTTTGCCACATCTCCACAAAGATGGTCAACATTTCGTTGTTGCGAAAACAAAAAATTACTCCAGATGCGAACAGCGAGTAGCTTATCATTCTGGTATCATCGGTAAAATGAATTGGAAACCAGGATCTACCGATGGATTTCTTTCGGTGAGTTAGATTTTGATAGATGACAGCTGTCAAACAACATTTGAGCGGATAAAATCTTATATGATTGAAGACTGTATCAAGAAAAAGATTTAGCGAAACTCTCTCGCTTTGAATGTTTCTACACTTCTATACGTATGATAATTCAATAAATAAAAATGCACACAACATCGAGAGAATAAAATTTATTTTGCGATTGTATATTTGTTGCAGAGATCATCTTCGAATTATATTATCATCTCCGGTAATCTGAAACGTTTTACTATTCAATCTTCCACGATGACAAACCAGATGTTAATCAACTCTCATAATAAATATAAATTTGACAATACATACTCTGCCATTGTTTACAGTGGTATGAATTTAACTTTGGATAGAATAAATCAGATCTCCAACCCTATGCATGTATCCAACAATCTCGTGCCGACCGGAAATTTAGTGTACACTTACAACAATCCGTTCTCTAGCCAACGCAAACCGCGTCGTCCGAGTGTCAGTCAAAGTTCTTTGGCGGCTCAATCATCCGAGAACCATAATTCTAACAGTTCTAGCCAGGAAAACCATAGCGACGATGATAACTTCAAGAGTGAGGAACACGATTACTTTCAACCTAAACCGAAATTGGATGAAGCTCCGGAGAGTCCATTATTACCCTATTTTATTGGATACAATGGCATGAGCATTTTAAATTCCGGAGAGAATTATACTCTTATAGCGAAACGCCTGATCGCTCTAACGTTCAGATTTGACCATTTTGGAACTGAACACAACGTAAACGACCGATACATCGAAGCTTTAGAACGATTCACAATTCTGGTTAAATTGATTCGCACCATGAATGTTGAACAGATCGCTGAGATAGCTAACGAAGTGCCCAAACTGTATGGAGCTATCAACACGCTTAGTGAAAGCGATTTTGATTTATCACAACAAAATGTATGGAGTGCTTTTAGCTGCGCCGTTGCAAATGCCGGAACTGGTCCCGCTCTCATCACCATAAAAAACTGGATAAAGTCTGGAAAACTCAAGGGCATACAAGCGGCACAGATTATTTCGAAAATTCCTAAATCCGTGCTCACACCTACAACGGAATATGTCGCAGCGTTTTTCGTAAGTATTCATTATATCTATATGTATTAATATAATATAGTACAGAGTAATTTTTTCTGGCATTTACGCTGGGTACGAAGATTTACGTCGTGGAAGTTAGAAAAGAAGCGAGAAAGAGGATAATTTGCACGCAACCGTTCTGTTACCTTTATGTTACATTTGCATTGTGAGTTTTCATTAATATACTACTGAAACCATAATGAGTAAAATATTTTTTATGTGTGATGGCCTTAAGTTTTGGACAGGGTCGATGTAGAAATAGAAGGATAATAGGATGGAGTATAGCAAAACACAAATGCTTAGCTCTTGTATTCTTTGTTCAGTTTGTGCAATATTTTCGGTACCCCAGCCGTTTGAAATATTTTTTAAATATAAAAGTAAACATTTCTAATTTTTTTAGACAGTATAAAGAAAGATACCGTTTATTCACTTTATTATAATAGCAAATAACACAGTACAACACACATTCCCTCCCGTGAAAAAATCAAAGAGATTCTGAAGTAGATGTAAAAAAAAATACTCATGTCTCGGCGTTTCATCAGATCAAGTCGTTAACGTTTTTTATGCAGCTATTTATCGTATTTGCTTCATATTGTCTTTTTATAATTGTTTTAAATTATATAATAATTTTTTTAAAAATAAATAATTGACGTTTTTGCATATGAAATTATGCGATGAGTCCTAATACAAAAAAAACAATTAAGAATTATTTTTTTCATATATTTTCAAATTTTTGTATAATAATAATACAATTATAATTATTATAAGAATCTTGGTCGTTTTATTTGCCGTTTGTATGATTCCGGGTTTGGTATCACAAATAATAGACCAACAGTATTCATCAACCATGTGTCTGATATCTTTTCCTTTGAAGCGTCCTGTGCTGTACAGTATTATAAAAAGATATTTGATGATACTTAAAAACCGTTAACGACTTGATATGGTAAAACGCCGAGATACGGATATTTTTTTTACATCTACTTTCAGAATCTCTTTGATTTTTTCATGGGAGGAAAAAAAATCGATTTTTGTCGAATTATGTAATACTTGATAAATTAAATGTTCGATAGACGCATATATACCGGAGTTACTCCATATCAAAACAAGAAATTAAAAGAATTTTAATTTTTAAAATTTCTCATTGTTTACACAAATATTTGTATTACTAACCGTTACATGCGAAGATTAATTTTAATGATTGATTTCTATATAGGAAATGATTACCGATGAAAAGGTGACAAAACAGAGATTTTTGAATACAACTGCACCTTTGTTATTCGCCGAATTGGCCCGTTACACTCAAAGCAACAAATTATCTATTTACTATCCGGTCTACAGTTTCGGCCGTATGGTTCCTAAACATGACAATGAACTTCTTGAAACTTATATTCCGTATATGGCTACCCAATTAAGAAAAGCCATTGAGGAAGGCGACAGTCATCGAATTCAAACGTACATTATGGCATTGGGTAATTTCGGTCATCCGAAAATACTTTCTGTTTTTGAGCCATACCTAGAAGGCACAATTCCGATAACGAAATTCCAACGTTTGATGATGGTCATCTCATTAAGCAAACTAACCGAAAGCTATCCGAGAGTTGTCAGATCCGTTGCCTTGAAGATTTACTTGAATTTAAAGGAGGCCTACGAATTACGTTGTGTAGCTGTTCACATCATAATTAAAACCAATCCATCCCTAATTATATTGCAGCGAATGGCGGAATTTACTAATCAGGATCAGGATCAGCACGTAAATTCTGTCGTCAAGACCAGTATAGAGTCCCTCATTAATTTAGAACAATCAGAATGGAAAGATCTCGCTGAAAAGGCGCGTATCGCTAGCAAGCTATTGAATCCTAACATTAGCGATGATAACTACTCTCGAAGCTTTTTCACGCAAACGAAAATCGCCTCCTTAAACATTGCTCAAACAGGCATGTTTCAGATAATTGGTAGCGACGACACTAATACACCTAAAGGTGCATATATTGATATACTTCAATCTTACGGTGGATTAAATCTACCCCTGACAAAAATGGCATATACAGTATCAAGTATCGAAGACTTGAAACAGAAGTGGTTAGATGTATTGCTAGGTGATCGGCCCTGGATGCCTCAAGATAAAACCAGGGAGGAATGGATGATTGAAACGATAATTGAAAAGCTTGGTATTGAGCCCGAAAATGCAGAACAGCTCGAAGGAAATTTCTTTGTGGACTCTGCATTTTCTTCAGGATTCTATCCCTTTGACAATCATACGCTTGAAGAATTTATCAATAGTAAGTATCCTGAAATTTATTAAAAAAAACTGTTGATTTTAATAATGTGAATTATTTTTGTATTGCAGTATTGAAAATGTATCGTAAATCGATATCGCGGACAAGATTATTCGTTTCTGAATACCAAAACAAAAATGATGTAAACCATTACGACATAACGTTAGGATTCCCGACTGAAACCGGTCTGCCGTTCATCTATACCTTAGCAGTACCGAAAATAACGTCCATTAACAGAGGAGGATCTATTAAAATTAAAGCCACACAAAATGATAGCTTTGTAGAACTGGCAGGAACAGGTTATATAGTATCAAGTGAAAAGATCCAAAGTAGAATTGGTTTCGTAACACCTTTCGAGCACAGACACTACATTGCTGGTGTTGATATCAATACGCATATCGCCATACCAGTTGGTTTAAATTTCACAACGAGATGTAACAGTACATTTCAGCTGAAGCTACAACCTCATAATAATCCTCATAGCAGGATGACAATCACTCGATTAGCGATTCACCACAGTGTGGTTCCTTATACCTCAAGACAGGACATTCTGCAACTTTTAGAGTTCAGCAATGAAACACGTCTAGTATACACGAAGGAACCGAATGAAATTCAGATTTCGCTAGGTAACCTGACACTCTCCGCAAGAAGTGATGTTATTGACAGCGATATGTCGCAGAAGAAGGGACTTGAAGGCCTTATTAACCTTTCTGCTATATTTTATTTAAATCTTGGTGCCCATTACAGGAGATTCGACGCAACCTTATATCCTGTAGAAGCACAAATAAATCTAACTCGTTATGTCCAGAGGACCAATAGAAGTTCGGAAGCAACAATTCCTGCAATAATTGACAAACGGCCAAACAGCAGGGAAAGAGGCGCACAATTTTTAGATGAACTCACAATTACCAAAGATAATAGATCTGACAATTCTGTCACTACATCTACAATGTATGACATAAGTGTTTTAGCTAATAATAATTATTACGTTTTGACTTTCGTTTTGGGAGAGAGCCGCGACAAATTACAGACCCTTTCCTATGAGAATGTCCAATCGCTAGATGGAGAAGTCTTCTGGGAGTTTTGTAGTGTTAATAGCATTGTTGGATTATCACAGTACAATCATCTAAATGTTGAGAAAGCAATCGAAAAGATTCCGAATTACGAATTTAACGCTGAGATGCGACATGGTAGTTGTGCAAATGGAGAGACGATTAAACTCAAAGGAAATTTGAGTCGCACTGATGATGTTTTAAAGAAGGCAATGAAATCCGAGATAGTCGAGGAGTGTCGACAACAAATGAAACAAGGCAATATTTGGCTACCAACTTGTCAAAAGGCCAACGAATTAATCCAACAGAGGGATCTTCTGATCATGTCACTGGAAACGAATTCGAATAATTTATATTCTCTTGCCAACAGAATGATCTTGATGATCAAGATGATGATTTCCGATAATAATATGAAAAGACCTAGCATGGAAGGCTTTAATAAATACATGGATGTAGAAATAAAAATTCCATTTGATAATAATGATGTGAACATTTCTTTGAACACTTTGCGAGCGGATGTTTCGTTCTCTCTGTCGCAACTTGTCGAAGATCCTAATGTTATCTCTCCCAATTATACACTAAATAAGCTTTTTAAGGAAGACCTGGAAGGAGGTGAGTTATAATAAATGCATTCAAAAGTATATATGAGATCAATACAATTAGCAAAGTAGTTATTATAAAAAAAAGATCTCGAAAACCTTATAAAAAAATATTCAAAAATTATTGATAAAAAATAGATATGTTACACTGACCCAAAAGTAGTACAACGCTTACAAAACGCTAAAAAAGCACATATAATCGCTTTTTTAGCACTTATTTGCCGCTGTGCTACTTGGGGAGCAACAAAATTTAGTGTTTTTCTGTATCGCGAATGTGAATACGCATTTTCGATATTTTTGCTTGCTGAACACGAACCGTTACTTAAATTTGATTAGTAGTTTGCATTTTTTTAATAATAATGTCAAAGATGCAAATAAGATTTCGAGGAATTCCATGACATTACACCGGCAGCAAATTTTATTCTTAAATTTTATTTATAACACGTAAAAATATTAACTTTCAGCTTTAAAATGCATTTTGATTTGTTTCAATGTCATTTTTCATTTTCGATATATTAATTTGAAAATAGCTCTTTTTCCATGTATAATACATGCATTATTACACGAAAATCATATTTTCTTTATGTCTTGCGAGAAACCTCTTTTCTTTATGTCTTTATGTATGTACTCGACGTCACGTCGTTTTATTAAATATGAAAATTTTTTGCAGATATGTGCGTTCTCGACAAAACCCAAGTTGTAACTTTTGACAATAAGATCTATCCCTTGACATTGGGAGAATGTTGGCACGTAATGATGGCGCCTTATCCAAAGCGGGATCCCAATAATCCCGAAAAAATTTTAGATTTTCCGTATGATGTAAGGGCAATTGTCATGGCCCGAGAAATGGACGACGGCAGTAAACAGGTATGGATAATCTTGGGTCATGAAGAAATTCATTTGCGAAAATTGGACGATCGTCTCCAAGTTTCTATCGTTGGTGGTGATGATTATGATTCTCATTTCTCGAGTCATAAGAACTACGAACAAACTGACTTATACGAAATTTATCAAGAGGATGGATTAATTATAATGCATTCGCTGCAATATAATATCCACGTCGTATATGATGGAGAACGTATCCTACTTTATGTAAGTAAAGAAATAAAGCAAGTTGTATATAAAATAAACTACATAAGCTAGACTACTTACGTGACTGCATAAAATATGATCAAGAGATGCGTGAAATTTGAATGTAATGAAACACGTCTGTTGTTAGGTACACGATAAATATCTCTATACTGTACGTGGTCTCTGCGGTAATTACGACATGCGATCCAACAACGATTTCGTTACCCCTAAGAATTGCATCCTGACGAAGCCCGAAGAATTCGCCGCGACATATGCCCTGACTTATCAGGAAGACTGCAAAGGACCCGCTTTGCAGAACAAACTAAAAGCCGAACAATCCACATGTATTTCGAGATCGTATATTCCGGGTGACGTCATCAGTGAAAGAGAAAAGGGAAGATGGAGCTATCATTAAAATAATCGATATGTTTAAGGAAAGCACAGCAATAATCGAATAGTTTTTTTTATCAGAGCTGATAAGAGCTGTAAACCTACGGAATAAAAATGAGAAGTCAAAAATATCTGGCATAATAAAAACGTTTTTATCCAATTCAAGCGCAGAATTAAGCAAAGATTAGAACCGAAGAGTCGGAAACTTTCAATGTTCTTATATTACTAGCTTTTTTATTGAGTGAATACAAAATCTCGTGCCCGATTTTAAAAAAATGTTTATGTATAATTTTATGTAGGACGCAATATTTTAATTAAATTGACAATTATACTATTCGATAGAGCAAAGTTTCAGATTTAAGAATCTGTTTTTTGAATTGCGATGATGACGAAGTTATGAGTAATCAAAGTGAAAATGTTCTTTTTATTTAATTCGTAATAATTCAGTAATAAAAAATTGTAGAGATATTTTTTAATTTAAATTTCATTTATTTTTAACAAAATTACAGTCGTTTCAATTTTGAATAATAAATCAGGCACGAAGTTTTGCACTTACCCAATATTTTACATCCATTTTGTATAAATATGTGCTATTTTGCTAATTGTAATCACATACAATAAAAAAATAATGATAAAGTTATATTTTTTTAATAACTTATATTTTAGTGATTTCTTTTCCTTTTACAGGGGATTAAATATAATCGAATGAATAAAGAGAATAAAAGTATATTTGCATTTAAATTTCACTTATAAAATCAAAATTAGATTTTGCACAATAACTATTTTTATTTTATATAAAATTTTATATATTTATATAAAATTTTAAGAGATAAGGTTATCTATTGGACAGTTTAAGCGAAGCTGATTTAATTGGCAGTTTATTTTGTTAATAGCTTTGTATAATTTATTTGGTTGTACATATGTAAAATTTTGATGTAAGCACTTTCCGAAACATTTATTCTTTTGTTGATAGCCTAGTTTATTTTTTATCATAGTTCCTCTTTCCTTTTTAAAACATTGATCTACAGAGGATACAAAAAAAGACAATATTTAATAAAATTGTGAAACGATAGGATATGCATTTTTGTTTGTAAGATTGTGAGATTATTTTATTATAAAAATTATGTAATTGATTCAATATTAATTAATTGTACTTTTAAAAATGTGCACTTTCCCAGAACTCGAACTTCTCTCAAACTCACGAATTTCTTTCTCACATTTCTCAAAATAAGTGCCCCGAAAGATTAAGGAAGGTTTATGATCGATTTGACAGTCTTTGCAAACAGTTTTTGCTTTCGCAATATATTGATTGTATTCGAGACACTTTAACATTTATTCGATGTATATAAAGTGAGTTTTATCAATTCTTGTGATGACACCTGGATGGCACTTTGTTCTCAGCAAGTGATGCAGCTTTACAAGGACATAATGTATAAGTATAATGTTTAAATATTAAATTACATAATAAATAGCAAGGTGTATATGTGTAAATTGCAAAGATCTCATATTAATTAGTTTTATTATTTTACCTTAAACAAAATAAATAAAATCCACAGCATTGCTTCTTGTTCAGTCAAACTTCTCGTACGCTCAAGCTCTCGTTGTCTAAATCTACAAAATAAAGTATGTTGCTAAAATTGCGTACAACAAGACATGTGCGAGAGCATACTTTTTCATGTTTTCTAAAGTTTCGTTGTTCTTTATATAAACATTTTTCAACCATCGTTGTAACTGCAAGAGATTTATCTTTGTTTTTCTAGACCAATAGCCTCTCCAAACGGCTTGGATTTTCATTGCCATGTTATTGTAGTGATCTTGCCACATCTGGTGAACACGTTGGACTAAATACTAGTTAATGATGAACATCCTGGTATGATAACCGCGCCAATGACGTTGCAGAATCGTCGCCTTTTCGTGAAGTTTACGAAGATGATTGCGGGTAACGATACCACGGAACCAAGCCTAAACGTCAAAAGCTTTAAATATATTAATTAATTTAAATATATTAATTAATATATATCCCGCATTAATATAGATTTTAACTAACCTGAATCTTACGAGCCGCAATAAAATACATAAGTTTTGACGATTCGGCTAAATCATGTTTAATTTTAATTGCATTCCGCAATTTAACAGGATCAACCGCGAATCTTAATTGCGACGCCATTCTTTTAACATGTCGAATTACTCAAAAATAATTATTTGATAAATATAAAAAATCATAATTTTTTATTTGTACACTCTTAAAAAAAACATCAGAAGTCGATCGTATCTAATTGTAGCTTTTTTTTCATAATGCTAATTGATGGTCTCAATACACGTTGTGTATGAACGGCTGTCATCGTGTATTTTGACAGTTCGTATATTAGATCGATTGACAACGCATAAATTTTTTAATAAGTATTAGCAGACAGAATAAATCCAATTTTATTAATTTTTAGGGCACAAGTTTTAAATTGAAAGAAAAATTAAACAAAAACACCGTTAACAAAGTAATCAATGTATATTTTGAGATACTGACAATATTGCAAATATCTATCTATAATTTCAACTTGCATATTTAGTTTATATTTTAATGCGAAATAATAACTGTCATACAAGACAAAGTATATTTATTATTAAAATACAAAAAATGTATGAATGCAAAACTATATAAAGAGTAAGTCGAACTGGACGAATAACGCTAATATAATTTAAAGTCTTCTAGTTAGTTCGAGTAGTCATTAATGTGCCATGTGCATAAGAATTACAGTAAACTTCAAAACAATATATAAAAACTGTAAAAAATACAACTAACACGAGCATGAAGGCTGACGTTACGATTACTATCTTCAAGTTGCTGTTTTTCTTTTGCCGAGTCCTTGACACTACGTGGAAGTCCCGCGACTGTAATAAAAATATTCACAAATATTACGTATTACAATGGATAAGCGATTGCTGTAAATTTAGCGAGGTCAGTTGGGCGACCCTGCATTTAAGATTAATTTATTTTTTTGCGCTTTTGCAATTATAATTAAAGCTACTAGAAACTGCGTTACACGGTTGCGATTGTTCGGTGTAACAATGTTTCTCATTATAGAGATCATAAATATACATATAGAAGATTGTATTAACGGAGTTACATCAGTGATTCAATTTGCGTGAATTATTAATACGAATTGGTAATTTTTAATTAACTCGAATATTAATGAGAATTGTGACGATTTATTCGTTCTTGATTGGTATTTTATATTTCATGTTTGTGAGCTCCTCTGCTTGTCAAAAGGCAACATACAAAAAGGAAACGAGAAAGAGAAAGGAAAATATGTCGAAATTTTCTCACCGAAACTTCGAGATTTTGCGTCTTTCGGATGAGTTCGTCCAACCTTTCGCCCCTATCAATCAACTTTTGGACTCCATTCATTAAAATGCAACGTACTTCAATCAATTCTTCTTCTAACTTTGAAGTCAGATTCTTACAGCCAATACCTTGATTATACTCTTCCTGAAATAATATCAATTTTATTCTTAATATGTATTGACATTTTTACAATTTATTTATCTGCATAAATTTATATGCGATAATATCATTTATTTTTAGAGAGAGGTTGTTATGGAACATAAAATTACTAACATATTTTAATGTGTTACAGTTTCATTATTGTCGATTATTAAAGCTAGTCAAAAAGTTTAAACGTATTATAAGTAACTTATAAACTGTGTTCTTTCCATTTTTTAAAAGATTTAAAAATTTTTTCATTAAAAAATTTCATATTTTCTTCTCTATTATATAAAATTGTTTTGTCACTTACAATTATTTTCTTTAATGGCTTTGAGAACTCATCTTCCGCGAGATTGGTTAAATTCGATAAATCTGCTAACGGTAAGTCTTTATAAACTGTCCGTAGCCTCTGCAAAAATATTTGAGAGCACGATTCTACCCATATCGCTGATGAGGGGCAGTTCACTTTCGATGTCAAACAAACATAGTGAAGTTTCCCAATCAGCACATGTACGGTATATCTATAAAAGAATTGTATTTCATTTTATTCATTGCAGCGCAGATAAAACAATAACAAATAATAATAAATAACAAGTAGTAAACATGAAAGCTGAACTGGATCTAAGTGCTTGATAATGTTTGATATGACGGTTGCCAGTAATACGAATAACAGACGTTTCAACTCTAATTAAGGTCATCTTCAGTGTCTTGATAACGTTATAATTATAAAATAATTTCTATTGGCAAAATGCGACTCAATTAATAAATTCAAAAAAGGAATTGAATGAAAAGAATAACAATAATGAAGAATGTTAATCTTATCGGTTAATTAATCTGTTGCGACCTATTACACTTGATTTCAGCGAATGTCATTACAAGAGAAATTGATAACTATGTGTCTCATAATATATCTTATAATTTAACGTGCTTTTTTAAGTGAAAAACAAGTTTAGTACGCGAAATCTACTCTCTTTGACCGCTGACAATGCATATATTTGATTATACTGTTACTTTTTCATTACGCGTTATTCTTAAAATAAATTAAAAAATTGCATATTCTTTGCAAGTGATTATGATATGCATGAATTAAAAAAATCTTACCTACTGTTATCGACGCTGATCTTGTCGTCCTCGACAGTTTTTAGACCATCGATGGTACTGAGAACGATAGTACGATAGATCGGATTTGGATTCGTGGAATAATCCGCAATGATCTTGCAACCGGATGTCTGACGCAAAGCCACCATAGCGTAGTGCACAGTTCCGTTCATTTTAGCCACAAATGAAGAAGACACTTGTTGAATGGATGATGAGTGGATACTACTGTGTTGTCTGTCAAACCATACAGCGTTCACAGATGCCAGAAGAAGTAAACGCCAACGTTGCCGGTTGTTTATCCCAATTCCGATAGCCCAGTGAATAACGAAAGAAGTTTCGATAAAGCCGATAACAACACATACGTGCCATGTATTTCGCATGCTACGCGAACGTTGAATCACCATGTGAATGTTGCTGCAAAAGATGAACTGCATACACCGATCGATCTTCGCATTTACCGAATTGCTACATGTTTGCCTATTCAATAAAATTTAATTGATAATTGATTATACAGGATGTCCCGAAATTCGCAACTTAAAATAGTATATATACTGAGAATCTCATTTCGTTGAATTAATTAATCTCTTGTTTAGATATGAGCTAATCAATCCTTGGTTGATGCAATAAAATAATTTAGCATTTTGAAGTAAAATTTTGGTTATAATAACATTTTATTTGTTTTCGATAATACAAATAAAATGTTTATATAACAATTAAATTTGAAGGATTTGTTTGTATACCATATATTTAAATTAGAGATTAGTTGATTCAACCAAATGGGATTCTCAGTGCAAAAAGTTTTGGGAAAATTAATTAAGAAACGTTATTTGTAAATTTTTCTTTTAAGTAGTAATTTCTAAAAATATAAGATTCGAACATGGCCAATTACAGACTAGTGTCGTTATTGTAACAACCTAGCGGAATTCACACCTGTGTATTTAAAAAATATTTCTTACTAAAAGAATACGCGATTAAACAAACGTCAGCCTGCAGGAATCGTTTCGCACTGCTATTATTTGCAAATTCTCTCAATCTGTTTCCTAACACAAGCGAGACAGCGCTTATAAACAACGCCGCAAACCGCACGCGGAATTATCGCGCGTTGTTCCCTTGAGACGCGACAAAGGCTATTGACTTGACGTCGAGCGGAGGGAAAATAAAATTCAGAACATCGTCAACCTGTTACCGAACGATTTGCCGTTGACGTTCCAACCGCGCTTGCGATACAAGCCGTCAATCAAACCTCGTACATTTACGTTCAGATATTCTCGTGTGAATGAAAACGTCGAAGAGGAGAAAATAAAAAATCGGATATTATATTAAAAATCGTTAATTAAAATCAATTATAAAAGCTACAATGCTGTATCAAGGAAAAGTCGAGGATATCTGTTACGATTGTTATTTAATGTAAAGTTTGATGGAAAAACGGTAAATGATTTTAGCATCGATCTGACACAGATACATATATATGATGCAAATAACGAGCGGCTGATGCAGAAACGTTTTATCGCAAAATTCAAATATAATAAGCGCGATAACGGAAGAATAGCTTTTACCAGCTGCCGTTTATGTGGAATAACTACCAACGTCTGGATAAAGCATTCTTTAAGATCTCTAATCATTGGTCTGTTCTACCGACATGCATGAATATGTAAGGTCGAGTGCAAGGCGAGATATTGTTTGCATTGTGATTGCAAAACTGACGGAGCATCCCATTGTAAAAATTCAAGTAAAAATGATATATCAGACAAACGTCCGTTTATGTAATATAGGTCTTATTTCACAAAAAAAGAATAGATAACGTCTAGAAAGTACAGATCATGATTCTTATCTTGTGTTAAAAAAAATACTTCCGTTTTTGTTCCACTTAACATTCGACACATCCGTATCTTATCTATAATATTTTGTTTACATTTACATATATGATAAACAGTTTTTCGTTTAATGCATAGAAAAATTATATTATGGACAACAAATAATGATAGTGAAGAACTTTGGAGTAAGTTATTTCGTTTATATCAATTAAATTTATTATACTGATAAATTTATAATTAATTGACATTTGATCAAAATCACTTTCAGAGCGTCATGCCGCTGATTTATTGTTTCATCTAGTTTTTGACATATAAATTATTATAACATGATCGTTCGTTTTGATTGTAAAGCAAATTATTTTCCATTATTACATTAATGTTTAATTATTATATTTGCAATTGAGAGATGGAGTGATTAATCAAGTCTATTTATATGAAGATTATAAACATTAGTACTTTACGATCTAAACTATTTTCTATTATAAATGCGGAAATTAAATATGTTTTCATTTTAATGGCTTTTAACATAAAAGAAACCTTTATTATTTACAGAAACCTTGGAGAACTCAAAAGTACAGTTTTGCTGATTATAGTCATGCATTAATTTGAATGTTTATATTATAGAACTGTGTAAAAACTTCATATTTATATAAATTAACATTAGATCAAGTATAGTTCAACGTAAAACTGCAAAGCATTAACGTATTGTGTTACGGAAATGTGAGAAAATAGAGCTGTATAAAAATAAGTTCAGAATTAAGAATTAGCTGTAAAGAAGAAAAAAATGTAAATCATTGCAACTTTTATAGTTCTTGCATACAGAATGCGGCAACGTGTTGCACGTGGCGCAGTTAACCGATCGCATTATGTACTTCGTTACATATTTATTAATTTCGGAGAAAAAAAAATGGAAGGCTGTTATGAGTTACGCGCGCTTTTCTTCTTAATCTATCACATGTTGTATGCGGGATTTATAACAAATTTATATACAAATATGATTGCATTCGATCATTTATTATGTTAAAAAATAAGCAAAATAAATATACCCTCCGAGGTTTGTTCAGGATATTTCTCAAAACCTGAAACGACTCAACATTTTTCTTGCATTTCGAACACACGAGAAGTGTGCGACTTAATTATATCATCTCTACCAATGTAGATTTATTTTAATCTTGATTTAATTTATCCTGGTCCATTTCTACCAATGTAGATTAACTTTAATCTCGGGTTAATTTATTTTTTATCTTTTCTAATTCTTAGAACTAGAAGAAGATTAAAAGCAAGCCAAATCAAGCTAAAAGTCAAAATACATTGAAATTGAAAAGAAACATCTGTGTTTTTTAAATTCTCAAAACTAGGAAAAAGATAAACTAAAAGAAGACTCGAAGTTAATCTGCAATGATAAAAACGGGCATTAGTGAAATAAAGTTAGTAAAATCTGGTCGCGGACGAAGAGCGCGCGGAAGAGCGGAAAATATCGACGAGAAAACTCGCGGTCGGTCAGTGGCGCCTCGCTATTTCGTCGTGTCTCATCGTAGCCGGCACGAACGGCGAGCGGTGGACGCGCGGG